CACTGGCCCTGGCCGGCTCGGCCGTCGTCCCGGCTTAGACAAATTGCTTTGACGGCCAGGGACAGAGTGGAGACTTCAGCGCGAGGGCGATCTAATGGCTTCTAATTTCATTAGGGCAACTCTGGATTAAAAATCCGGGAGTTTGGGATAGGAATGCGCGACGGCACCTCTCCGTTTTTCCCTGCACTCAGGAGAATCAGAGACTTTGCAGAGATGCCCAGAACGTGGTGGCAGGGTGTGCTCCTTCCCAAGCGTCCACCCCAGAGCGACTCCAAGACAGAAAGCTAGGAGGAGAAACGGGGCAAGAAGCTCCACGTTCCTGCACCAAAGCTCCGCTGAGGTCCCAGCCAGGACACGCCAGCGGGACCTTTTCAAAGCGCACCGGATTTTTCCCAGGCGCTTACACCTCCAGTTCGGTACCCGCGGATCCACACCGATCGCCCTTCCGCCAACGCTCGCTCAAGGTCCAGGTCATTTTCGCTCTGAGAAGCAGCCACAGTAATGTCACTGTGGGCAAAACACCATGGCTTAAACCGAAAGGAGGCCCGGATTTGCCCGGGGAATACCTTCTGCATCGCCTGCCCAGGAGCACAGAAAGGAAATGGGATTTTCCCCCCTCCTGGCCAGCAGGTTAACCACCTCATCAAACAGCGCTGAACCATTGGGGGGGGGGCAGGGAGGTCCCAGGTTCTTTCCCCACCCAGATCGCCATGGCCTGGTGCTTGAACCCGATGGGTTCCCAGGAGCGGCTTTCTCATCTGGACCCTCATAGAGAGCTCTCCATTTTAGTCAATCCATTCCCACCCAGCCCCCTTCTTTCTCTAAACTGGGGAGCACAGGTGGGACATTTATTTCTGGGAAGACAACTTGTGGGACAGGGAAGCACTTTTGAATGAAAGCGACTTAGTCTCAGATCCCTGTTCTCAAATACAAACTGTGTGACCTTGGGCACATGCCCTCCCTTTCTTAGGCTCTCCTTGACAAATTCTGTTCCTTTCAGTCTTCGTCCCTGGCCCACTAGGTCCCTGACCCACTAGGATGGTGTAATCTCTAAGCCAAGGATTCTAAATGCTGGTTTCAGAGACCCGGGCTGTGTGGATGTTCTCCAATGAAGATATTTAAGGACATTACCCCCCCAAAAAAAAAATCTGTATTGTTTGTTTTTCTTTGAGAAAGAGGGGGCTAAAAGTTGGGGTGGTGGGGGGCTGCATGCTGACTAGCGTCCATGCAGTGTTAAGGAAGTCACCCCGGGCGGGCTCCACTTTTGGGGCCAGTGAGACTCCAGCTTTAGGACTTCAGTCTCCATTTGCATCCTCTGGGTATGTTGGGGGAGGGAGAAAGCTGGACTTAAAAAAAAAAAAATAAAAAGATCTGCCCAAGAGAATCAAGTTAACCAGGGGCACTGGAATCAGAGCTGGTTGTTGGGGTTTCAGTTCCCATGTTTTTACATACATGGCAGGTAACTTGGGCTCTTCTTCTTACCTGGATCATCCCCATTACCCCCCCCCAAAAGGCTGGATCTGGAAGGGGGCAGGGAAGGTATTCAAGGAGACTTGAACAATTTCATGGAAAATGCGTAGCATGATAAAAGTAGGCATGGATTCCAATTTTAATTTGTACCAAAATAAACCCATACTTTAATTCCATGTGTCCACGAGCTTTGGAGCTTTGAGAAGTCTCTCTGGTATGCTACTGCCATGGTCCAGCCTCTGTTCAGTCTGTACTGGGTCCGCCCTGGGCTACAGGGGCCATGTTTTCTGCAGACCTGACATACAGCCCGCAGCCCCAGCTGCAGACAGCACTAAGGCACCCACTAAGGTTGGTTCACAGGCCCCAGGGTGCAGGCCTGGAATGTGATTTAGACACCTCAGGACCCTCACCCCTCAGAGTGTTCAGTGCTGGTGGCAAGAGAACCAACTGGGGACCCTTCTCCGGTCACAGAGACAGACCCAGAGCAGGGGAAGGCGGGCCTCAGGGAGATTGCAGAGGGCTAGCTATCCAAGTACGAGAGGAGGGGAGACCGTGGAAGAAGTCGGAAGAGAAAGAAGAAAACAAGGGAAAGGTCAATTGGAAGGCGAGAGGGGAGAAATATGGAGGGAGGTAGGGAGGACGAGGCTGGAAGTCCAGACAGAGAAGGCCGATGAAGAAAGATCAAGGAGGGAACTGGAGTGAAGATGAGGGTGGGGTGCAGGAAGCCAAAGAAAAGAGAAGCTGCCCAGCAGGAAGAAGGAAGAGAGAGAGAGGGAAGAGAGAGTAAGAGAGCAAGGAGGTATGAATCCTAAGGCGCGGCACTTACATGCCCAAATGGATCCAGGTGGTTATTGGTGAGCTTGAGCTTCTGGAAGGACACGAGTTGTCTCATCCAATGGGCGCCGGTGGCGGGTGAGTCTGGGTGCACATAGAGGCGACCTGGCATGGCTGGCTCCGCTTTGCCGGTCACAGACCTAGAGCAAGGACAGGTGTGACTGCAGGGCCAGCACGGGGCACAGGGTCAGTGCATCAGAGCGCTGGCTGTCCACGCACCAGGGAAGCGTGCTGAGTGTGAGCTGGGAATGATCTGGAAATGGCCTGACCCTCTGGTCTCCCATAGGCCTCTGCGACCCCAGGTTTCCCAGAGCACTGTCTGGGCAGGTCCTCTGGCCTGGCTCTTTCTCCTTCCACCTCAATCTTCCTCCAGTGCACCCCTGGGGCTTCCCAACCTCTCTGGGCCCCACAATGGGCAGGTTCTGGAAGTCTGGAGGTCCAGAAAAGTCTTGCCGGCTGTGAGAGGAGGCTTCCTTGTGAAGCCTTGCAAGTGTTGGCAGACAACTGAACCATCCACCCAGGCCTCTCCTCGCTTGCCTGTTTAACTCAAATACCATGGGCTGGATTTTTTTTTTTTTTTTGCAATTTCATAAAAAGGCGTGCTCAAAGCAGGTAACTCATAAAAAATAACTGTAAATGGTTTTACGCCCCCCAGAAATACCTCCAGCCCTAAGTAACAATAGGCTTTTTAAAAATCCCAACCCGAGCGGGAGGCATAGCAAGAGATACAGGCCCTGTGTCCTAGGAGCCTCTGTTTTCTCAGCTCTACAATGGGACCTCCTGACAGCATCTCAGGACAGAGGGCCCCATGAAACCGACAAACCAGGCCTCTAGCACACAGTGGGTGCTCTGAGAATGCTGACGACTGGGGTGGGGCTGTCTGTTTTACACACACACACACACACACACACCGCCCTCCCACAGTCCCTTCAGGGCCTACCATTTATTATCTGCGAATTTGTATCTGTGATCATCCGCAGGGACAATATCCATCAGGAGAATGTATTTCGTTTTGGGATTAAGGCCAGTCACCTTCACTTTGTAACTGGGGAACATCCGCCTAGGACCAGGAGACAAAGGGAGAGGAAGAGAGAGGAAGAGGGAGGAAGACTATGAATGCCAATGTTCTAACGAGCATGCCCACCCCCTTACAATGGAAGAAGCGCTTCCTTGAGCATGGGAGCGAACACTGGCCCCGCTCCGGTTTCACCAAAATCCATCCCGGGTTTCCCTTGAAGTTATGGGGAGGAGACAGGCCAAAGGATGAGAAAGAAGGCCGTGAGAACCATAGGTGCCTAGGAGGGAAAATAAAAATCAACTGGCTGGGGTTCTAGAGAACTGGTTATGAAGACCTGAAAAGGGGCCCCCTTTTTCACCCTTGCTAAATGCTCTTTTCAGACCCAGACTACCCACGATGGGGGGGGGGGGGGGGGGGG